GTTATCAGAAATGTGCAGTGATCTGAAGCTGAGTGGAAAAAGATGAATGTGACTCTTCATAAATGTGTCCTAATAATTGTGTGCATTTCTTGCTTCTGTGTACTCTATGGCCTGTTGTTGTCTTGAGGGGTGAGGCACTTGACATTTGTTAAATAAAGACTTGTTACATTCTGACAGGATGGTAAGGTTTACTTTATTGCACATACTGCTGGACCTATTAGACAACATTCTTAAACCAGAAAATTATAGCAAAATGTATCAAACTAAATGTAGACACTTCCTATTCTATGAAACATAAGAGCCTGATCTTAAAGACGTTGGTATGTTTTGTAGAGCCTAATGACTTTACTTTACAGTTCCATGGAGGGTCATCAGCAATCACTTCAAATCTTTATTGTTCAGCTAAATTATTGGTATAACTGCTGTAAGTCCAGTGCTGAGGTAGAGTGAGGTGTGGGAGTAGGCTAATAAGAATTCTTTTAAAACAAAACTAGCTTTCCATAACTACCATGGAAGCATTTTTACTAATTAAAGTAACCCTTGCAGCACGGTAACGGTCTACATCAATTTACATGACTTAAACTTGTGTAGACAGGCCCATACACAGATTAAGGACCTACCTGTTTTAAAAACAAGTTACTAAAACCTCTGCCCTAACCAGCATAGGGAACAGCAATGAAGGGGGGTGTGTGTCAGCCTTAACTGGCAGGGTTTAAAAATGTGAGTACAAGGAAGGGGGTTAGTGCTGAAATGTCAAACTCCACAAAGTTTGGTATCCTTAATCCAGAGGTAATAAACTCATGTTAATTTTCCTTTGCATGTAGTCATGCTGCAAGGAAAATCCAAAACCTGAGGTGGAAAGAGGTGCTAGTAGCAGCCTGTTTATGGGTCCGTGGTTCTTTGTCTAAAGTTTCTGTATTGAATTAACTAAGGTAGTAGAAAAGGAAGCTCAAAGTGCTTCAGCCCACTACTGTGGATACAGTAAACAAGACTTCCACACGTAAAGGTGAGCATTGAGGCACCTGAATGACTTCTATGGTTAGAAGTGGGCTAATCTCTCCTGTTCAGTTTCCAGTGCAGTGTCTCAGACTGCATCCACAGAAGGGAATAAAAGTATATTCTTACATCATGTTAGCAAGACAGTCTAGTTTTAATGTGTCAGTATGTACAGAAGTACTAGTAGGGAGCCTGTGGAATTTATTTTTTCCAAGATGCCACTGAATTAGGGATCTTGTTTAAGTGCCCTGCTGGGACATGCCTATAGTTGCCTCTTGCTCTTTGTGAGGAAGGCCAAAGTGAGTTAATGGGTTCCCAGGACATATTCCCTGCATTGTTTCACAAAGCTGGGCAGCACTAGAAAGCCGGCATTGAAGTCCAGCTTGCAGCTAAGGTACACGTAAACAAGTATAGGCTGGTGAGCTAAGCATCTTGGAGATAAGGGGAGAAGCTGAGCTCAGGAAAGCAACTCAAGTGACTAGTTCTTTTCTTGGGGCACACAACAGGGAAGAGGTTCTGAAGATCACTTAAGCAGTAATGCAGAAGTCAGACAGTGGTCCCAGCCCATTATAGAAAATTAATCTAGGATTTTTTGATCAAGCATTTTCTAGCTATGATCTAATTGCTACTCCTGGGTGAACTCTGTGCCAAAAAATGAAAAATTCTGTGTACAATATTTTAAATTTCTGCAAATTTTATTTGTCAAAATAACACTAGATGATCACAGTACTTTCAGTTTGGTAACTTATTTCAAAATACCTGTCAGCAATATAGAGAGAAAAAATTCCCCCAGCAGCAGAAAGTTAAAGAACCCCCCCCCTATAACAACCCAGTTCCTGTTTCTCTACCCCTTCCCTGAGCCCAGCTGGGTTGCCAGAAACCCACACCTCCTTCCCCTGCCCCCAGAGCCTAGCCATGGGGCCCCCTAGCCTAGATGCCCACACCCCCTCCTCACCAAAGCCCAGCCATGAGGGTCCCCCAGCCCACATACCCAACCTCTTACCCCTCAGAGCCCAGGAATCCCAGAGGAGAAACAACCTGATGGTGGGTCCCAGGCTTGTGTGGAGTTTCCTGCACACTGCTGTCTCAGGGAACCGCAGCTGCTGGGAACCCTCCCTCTCCCTCACCAGGCACTGTCTTCCATGTGCAAGCTGGGCTCCGCCAGGTCCAGTGGCAGCTACCACCACTGTAGCCAATTTCTGTGGGGGAAATTCTGCCTTGCAGTGGTGCTGAATTCCCCCAGGAGTAAACTGCATGTGATGGGGCAAAATGGGAAAAGGATATTATAGGGGGAAAAATCATGTTGCCACAGGGTCCTGTGTATACTCACTACAAGATCAAATCCTGTGTTCAACAATTTCAGTGGGGATCTGTGCAATCACTGGTCCACGCCTATGATTCTCAGTCTTCACTTTTACAAGATGCAGTGATGCAACTCTACTTAAGTACTGCTGTTTCACATGCAATAGATTTTCCATTGCACATTCCTTTGGTGTTTTGGAGTACTGCAGTTTTTGCAGTTGTATACATATGACAGTTTATGGAATTGCAATGCATACAAGCCTAAGATATTTCTTACTCGAAAATAAGTAAACAACCAGAAGGGAAAAAATATTTTATTGTATTTTCTACCAGTGTTGACAATTCTATAAGACCTTTACTACTATTTCACAAACTAATTGTTTTCAAGCTTACAAATGATTCAGAAATTCAAAATATATTCTTGATTTAAAATACATTGCAAAAAAGTTAAACAAAGGTTGCAAATGACAGTTTTTACAACCACATTTGTCTAATTCAGAGGTCAAAAATAGTGTCTCAATCTGATTTAAAGGAGACAAGTGCAGTTTAATTACTTCACTCAGCAAATGAAATTAACTTTTAAAATGTAAGCAGTGTATGGCATGCTGGTGATTTTTAAAGTGAGCATTGTTTCCAGAAACCACAAAATCATGACTGCATTACAGGAAGTAACTGATAGAAGGACTGGAATGCTACTTGTTTTTCTAATAGTGATAATAGAAAAATACACATTTTACTTAGAAATGAAAGAATAAAGTGATGAGACACTTTGAATACTTTAAAAAGTAGAATTTTTTATATCTTGCTATATCATTAATATCAAAAAGTGACTGCAACAGTACTCAAAATCAGAGAACTCTCTATGAAGCAAGAAAGAGCCCATCAGAGAAAATGGCTCTATTAGAAATAATTATGGGAAAGGGAATAAAACCAAAAATGTTTCCTTTAAAAAAAATAATAAATCAGTGTTCGACCTTGAGTAGAATGTCTAAATTTCCTTAAAGGCCCCCAAATGTTTCAGCAGCTAGCAAATTGCAGGAGATTAGGGAAGTTACTGTTAGGAGTTAACAATGCAACAACCCCACCACCACCTTCAATGGTTACTTAAAGATATTTCAGTTTTACCCAGAAAGTCCATTATTCAGTAGCATCACCAGAAGGCAATTTCAATAAAAAAGTCAAAACATTCCAGCAATTAAACTAAAATAAAATGTAAACTCTGCTTGATAAGTTGATTTCAGGGTTACTTATGGACTCAATCATAAACGAGCTTACACACCACTGCAGGGATGTGAGGCACCCCAGTTTGCCTCGCACAAACTATCTGCATCATGGGTCACAATACAAGAGGGAATGCAGCCACCTAGGAGCAGCTAACTCTCTTCTGGCCAGGCAGTGAGCCAGCCAGAGCAGCAGAACAGGTGCAGATGGTGATTTAAGCTACATTAGAAAGAAGGCTGGCACAGCTTACATCTCCCATGGAGCAAAGAGGAAGCAGGGACCACACTGCAACTCTTAGTCACAATATGGCCACTGCTCCTGGGGTAGTGCAGTTATATGCTGCCCCTTACTCAGGGCAGCTTGCAAGCTGCCAATCTAGCCCTAAGTCATCAAAATCCCTTGAGGCGTACACAATAACTTATTTTGGGCACTCTGTATTGCATAGCTATATGTACATACTAAACTCCACATGATGATAGGAACATTGTCACAGTAATAAAATATTTAAGAAGCAATTTTCAACCAATTATTTAAAAGGATAAATAAGTTAATGATAATGCAATTTTGACAGATCCTTAGTTCTTTGCACTTCCCTCAGCTTGGAGGGTGAAGCTAAACTAATCAGTTTATAGCCCATTTCACTTGCATGATGCTGCAGTGTTCGTTTTTCCCAACACTGCAGAGGAACATCCAGATAAAGCTACTGAAAATATTTCTATTTCATTTTGTAATTAAAAAAAAAAAAAATCTAAATCTTGGGCCTAAAACTACTACTAAGTGCTCATTTAAATCAATCTCACTTAGGGCAGGTCTACACTACAGGGTTAAGTCGACCTAAGTTACGCAACTCCAGCTATGTGAATAATATAGCTGGAGTTGATATAGCTTAGGTCGACTTACTGTGGTGCGTACACTGCGCTGGGTCGACAGGAGAAGCTTTCCCATCGACTTACCTTATGCTTCTCGTTCTGGTGGAGTACTGGAATGGACGGGAGAGCGATCTGTGGTCGATTTAGTGGGTCTTCACTAGACCTGCTAAATCAATCCCCAGTAGATCGATCGCCGCATCAATCCACGGTAAGTGTAGACATACCCTTGACTTCACGGTAATGCTTCTGCAGTGCAAGAGGAATGTAGCACATTGGTAAGTGTTTGGAATTTACTGCAGAGATCAGAACTAAGCTTTTTTTCTGTTCACATTAAAATAGTTAATATACCCCCCATAGTAGCTAGCTCAGACCTGCAGATTTCTTGGCTTGATGAATTATAGATATTGCAGCAGTTTGTAGAAACATGCCATATTGAGTTGTGAACAGCAAGCCAAATGGACAACTCAAACATCTAAGGAAATAGCACTTTAAAATGGTATCTGACATGAGCTATGCAATAAAGTCTTAAAAGTGTAGATCACTCCCATATTAAGTCTTTACTTGATTCTTATATTAAACTAACATAACTAGCTGGTGCACTCAACAGAAAGAAACATTTACCTGAAAAGACAAGTCAAAAAGGCAAGATGGGATCACTATTAACATGAGTCCAAATAGGGTAACTGCAGTTGCACAGCACTTTAAAAAGCTATATGAACATGACACTTTTTTTTTTTAAACAATAAGATTTCATCATGGGTTTGAGGCAGGAGGTTTGAAGAAACCAATCTTACGGAAATATCGGACAAGGAATGGCACAGAAACTAAGGTAATGCTGATTCGGACTGGAGCAAACACCTTGTGAATAGCGTAGGCCAACACAAATGTGCTTGTACCAGCAGCCACTTTGGATTGCACCAATGCTTCATTGAATCCAAGTTTTAGGAGAACTGCGGTCATGTCCACACCACTGGGGAGGGAAAAAAGGAAAAAAGAATTTATTGTATTTTTTTTTTTAAATCAAAAAGTTGTACCAGTTCCCTTATGTTAGTAAAGAGCTCTTTTGTTTACTTAGGATAATCTGGGTATTCATGCTCCTGTTCCTTAACTGAACACCTACCTTAGTTATAGCAGAACAGTGTTAACGTTTATGTCGTTACTTAAAAAGCAGTTAAGTGTGCCAGATTCTGATTTAACACAATGGATGAGTTTCTAAAATGGAGCCACTCTAGGTTTATACTGTTCTCACTGAGATTAGACTGCAATCTTTCTGACGATTCAGGAGGTCCATGCTGTTTGACATTTCCCTTCTTCTATGTAAATCAAAAACCTAAAGCACAGATGCATTAAGAAATTAAAATTCCAACAAATACAATAAACTGTGATTGACTTAAAGAGGCACCATCAACTAGAAAGCTAATAAATTATAAATTGTAACTTGAGGTATTACATTTGTCTCTGAGCCCTCCCATACCTCCGAGCCAATTTTTGTGGTTTTACGAGTTTTTAATTTTTTTTATATTTTTCTCCTCCCCATTGCTGTGTGAAAGGCCCACACAACATGCAGAAACTGAAAAAGCACAAAGTGCTGTCAAATGCACAGTGTGATATTTTTGACAATTTCAGATGATGCCTGTTACAAGAGTAGGAAACAACTTTTCAGACTGAAATGTGATATTTTTCCCCTCCCAGGTTGGTGTCCCTATAAAACCAAATACCTTCTCATTCATCCCCCTTTTCTCTGCTTTCACAATTGTATAGCTGCAGCATCAGCCCAATAGTCAGATATGTCCCTTACAGTTAAAAAATAATAAAAATGTAGGGCTGGAAGGGATCTCAAGAGGTCACCTAGACCATCCCCGACAGGTGTTTGTCTAACCTGTTCTTAAAAACTTCCAATGACAAGGATTCCACAACCTCCCTAGGTAACATCCCTGTTCTATTATTCTACCTTCTGAATTAAAAAAAATAAATTGGAAGTTTGTAAATAATCTTTAAAAGATTTAAAGTTTAACCAACGTGCAAAATGAAAGACCATCATTAAATTTGATGTAAGACAGAGTAAGACAACAATACACCCATACATAATGCTGAAAGTTCGCTAATGGAGGAGTAAAAAGGCTGTTTGAATGCTGAATAACTTATGTAAAAACAGAGCAAAGGAAAGAAAGAGGGACTTGTCAACTCCTGCCATGGATCAGTCACGTATACATTGCAAACAAGGAAGCCACAACTATTTTCAGTTGTCTAGAATAGGCTCTAAATTCTGTAGTATTTCCCACATGACCTTGCAATGGTCCACTTTTTCCCCACTGCACTTCTCACACTTGGCCATACAATTAGGTTTAGCAGGATTTGATTTATGTCCTTAGTCATTGGTAAGTGTCAATTTCACCTGACACAGAAATCAACAACAACAAAAAAATCCATCAACAGTTGGCAAATGCACCTAGCACCTGCAGGAATCTGGTGTCACTGGCCTCACAGCCGTGCAGGGAGCCCTCTGCAGTCCTGGTGACTCACTCCCTGGCCAGGAATGCAGAGGTCATCTCTGGGTAGGAGCAGTTCAGCAGCTGGGTGGCGTCCCCCCCAGTTGGTGGCTCCTCCTCCTCACGACTCTGGCCAAAGGAAACTGTTCTGCCAAGCCAGGACCACAGCCTCTCCTGCACCTTGTGCCCTCCTGTCTCAGGCCTCTCAGCCACATAGGGAGCCCCCTGCAGCCTTGCTGTCAAGGCTACCCTAACCCTACCCCTTTTATTCCCTACAAATGTGAAAATTAAAATAGTTAAAAATAAAAAAATGCTTAAAAATAAAAATCAATATTAATTGTCAAACTTACAAAAAAAATCAAATTCCGCTGTGCCTACATGTAATGGTACATTAATTGTTTTGTAATGGGGGAGTTATGTTTGTGCAGTGCATGAGGGATCTTTGCTGCCATCATGTGCTCTGTTCCTGTAAATAATTATGTACATTTCTAAAAATAGGACATGATCCCACCAAAAGCCATGTACAAACTCCTCTCTCTCCTCTCCCTGGTTGTCACCCTTCTGTTTTTTTTTTAAATCCAGTCCTATATTTGCTTTAATCTTTCTGTTTCTTCTGCAGTTATAGGCAAAATTCTAACTGGTGTCTTTCAAGGAACCTACCAGCCTACATTATTCTTTTGCTCTCCTTTCTTGCATGCAAGTGCCCGAGTAGATCTCCAGGGTAATCAGGGCCGGATTTACACCTTACGTGTCCTTAGGCACAGCATCTTCAGCACGCCCCCTGCCTACAGGTGACCTTTGTGTTTTCCGTAAAAAAAAAAAATGAAACTTTTAACCCTCTTAATTTTTAGGTGCCCCTAGGCACATGCCTACTGTGCCTAACTGGAAATCTGGCCCTGAGGGTAATCATGAACATAAACTCCCTTCCGGATGGCTGCATTGGCACACTCCCCAGCCTGCCTGCCCCCAGGTGTAGAGCAAGGTACATTTTAAATGCAAACCCTCATCTTTACTCTTGCTTGTCTCAAGACAGACTGGTCCCAAATCTGCAACTGCTTCATACATGAATCTCCCTTTGGATGCCATGAGACTTCTGCACATAGAGCAGACACAACATTGGGCCCTGACTAGTCTCAGAAGTTAAATACTACCTCAAAAATCCATGCCTGCTTGATATTTCTTACTTTATACACAAGATTACCCAAGGCCAGAGAGTCTGCAAGAGAATCCACACCTTGAAACAGCCAGGTAGAATATTCCCAAAGACATTAACGAAATTCCAATATGGAATGAAACTCCTACAGCTCCGTATTCTTTAAAAACTTTTTTCAGCTGCTGGGATTTGTTGGGTTTGTTCTCATCTTCATCACTGGGATCCGTGACTTCCTTTTCAGGGGATCTACTTGTGTCCTATCCAAAAAGAAAACGATGATTTAGAATGAACACTCACATGACACACAATGTCCAGTTTCCAGTTAATTGTCTCAAGCTACTTGCTGAGAAGCAAAATAAAAGCACAGAACTCTATGCCGTGCTGTTCTTGGGTGCTTTGGATAGGGGGGCAAAACAAAGATGCATAGTATTAGGTGCAATTTACCCCATAGAAGAGAGTATACAAGGTCCACATGAGCTATTAACCCAGGATTAAGGGATGCATTGAGCTCTGTGTGGACCCCAGCACTAGGGCAAGTTTTCCTATTACAGAATAATAAATATAGACAATATAATCCCGATCCTGAAACTGACTCAGTTCAGGCAGAGTTCCACCCACACAGTCACTTGTAGGATAGGATCCTTAGTTTGCATGCCAGAGTGATTTTGCTTTGTACCTCAATGCTCAGCCTCACAGTGCAGATTAAAGAGCCCTGTATCGCCAAAGGCCAAGTGATTGGTAACACAGAAAGCACATTTGACACAACATATCGAGAGATGTCAGCTTAAAATAATTTACCCCTGAATAAGGCCCAACATTTTAAGCTCTTGTAAATCACATTCTGTACATCAGCAACATAGAGAAAGAACCTGGGAATTATTGCTGTAGCTTGGTAGCAACAAGCAGCAGTATCCCCTGGCTGTAAAAATGCTGCTGCAGCAGCAGCAACAAATGCAACTATGCTAGCAGTGGTTTGGCAGCCACTGACAGACTTCTGCTATAGCCATTGGGGAACCCATTTCATTTCTTCTTCTGGCATTTCTATAACAGAATAAGGTTTAAAACAGAATTTTTATAATAAAAGTAGATTTCAAAGCAACCTGATCCTAACTGTGCAGGTAGAGCCTCAGGTACTAGATCTGACACACATTATCTTGTCTTAACCCCAGAGGAAATGTTGGCCAAGACAAGAGGGAAAACCTTGGGACATCTCATTTATTACTGGACAATAGGATGGACAGAAGGGTTCCCTCTTCTTCAATTTACTTAATAGTAGTGGTACCATTCTGACAGCCACTGAGACTGAAGCCCCCTGTTTATTTACCGCAGAGGCAGTGCCACTAGATGCTTCCCACAGTCAATGTGCCTCAAACCTTGACAGAAGAGAGAATATTTCATTTTCCTTTGCCCATTCAGTCTTTTGACTCTCTCAGTCTGCCAATAAGTAGGCCCAGTTAAGCTCCATATTATATATGCTTTCAATTTACAGTGCTAAAGGGCATCTCAGGCAGTTATCATACAACCAGGAGAGGATTCTCAGGAACTCCAGGCTCATTATATCAAAGCCAACAATGCAAAATGAAATCACAGGATCTGAGCTATGTAGCCTGTTCTTGTCACCCAAGTGGCTTCCATTTCTTTCAATTTCGCTCTCACTAATCTTGGGCACTAGACTAAAATACATTGAGGCAGCTTCTGAATCTGTATTGGCAATGAGGCAAGAGATTAAGCCAGTACCATGTTAGCAGCTGTTTATTAGGACTACCTGGTGTGGTCATGCCCTGTATATCTACTTGCTTAGTAAAGAAAGCTGAGAGAACAGAATTATTTTCTATAACATCTCTATAGAAAGTCTATTTTCCTTGGACCCAGGGAGTCCTGTAATGCCAGAAATCAACCCACCAGAAGATTAAGGTGCTCAACATGTTTAAGAATTCAACAGTGACTGAAAGCAACCAAAAGCACAGAGTTGGCCACAATCCTGGAGCTGAATCCCCTTGCCCACATGCATCTGGTTGATTAATTGGGGCCTCAGTGAGGGCAGATCCATTTTAATTAAATTTTATTTTTAGATTATTGTTTTGAGACAAAGGAAATTCAGTGTTTATTTGTAGAACCAGTCCTGCAGAAATGCAATGAAAGAAAATATATTTTAAAAGGCTTAGTTTAATATTAATATATATATATATATTTTAAAAAGAGAGAGTACTTTGAATTGTGAGCATCTGTAGTTATATGATGTTCTTTAGCAATACCAACAGGACTATTTCCCCCTAAACAAACAAACAGAATCTAACTGTATTAAGAATAAAAAAATTAGTATAAGTCACAGAAGGGTCTCAAACAAGAGTGTTTTATCTAATAAAAGAAAAATACATGTGGATAATAGTGTGCAGACAGTGGGTGGCCTGACACGGAAGAGAAAGAAGCTCATGTCAAGAGCTCTTAAGTGATGGGCACTGGCCCTCATTCAATTCTCCTCATGGCATTGCTCTCTTCAGCATTTCTAGTGAAAACAGTATCATTACTTCCATCATAATTTGCTACTTTTCAGAGGTACTGTACTCTGGAACTCCCATTGATTTTAATGGATACTAGCTGATGCAAAGCACCTCTGAAAAACCAAAGAGATGCGTTTTTTATGGTTTACTACTTGGCCATAATAATTAACCTGGAGCTAAACCTTCACATTTAGAAATTCTGGCACAAACAAGTTTAAAAACAACCTCCCCCCACAAAGAGAAAGAAAAAAAAAATCCAAACACCCACATACAGTTCAGCCAAGTTATGGAATGTTAAAACATTACACATTTTGTTCTAAGGGACTCATGTTGCATTTCTAACCAAGACCACTCCTATTTTTTTTAAAGTTACATGTATTGAACAGTGAAAATACATGTGCAGATAACTAAGGACATTTCCACACTCTGTCTTTGAACTGAAATAGGGAAGAGGATAAAAGAGATAAGAAAGACCATTAGTCCCCTGCCCCAGTACATTGTCAAGTGTCCTGCCCAGTGTAGTTTTAAGTGTCCCAAGTGACTGGGCCTCTACCATATACCTTGGGAAACTATCCTGCAGGCTAATAGAGATCGCTGCCTGGAACATTCAACCTAAACTTTCCAACTGAAGTTCATCCCTTTTCTCTTGTTTCTTAACTGTCACTTCGGAAAAACTGGGTACTTGAGATCTTCTATAAAATTCAAAATGTGCAGACCGCACAGGGCAGGGAGTGAGAATCTTTCTCCTGTGTTTTGTGAGAATATGATGCACACACACATTACAAGTACTAGAACCATTTCCTCTATTTTAAACACTTTCTATTCTTAAAACCTATCCTACAGAAACTGCAGCAGCTTGAAAACAAGTAATGTTTTTGGCCAGTGTGTGGACAGGACATTATATTTTAAAAAAGAAGTTGTTTTACTGCCTGTTAAAACTATGTCCAGTCTGTGCAAATTGGCACTAGCTATAACAATATAACTAGAAAGATTTCAAACAACTTCCTATGGGATGGAATGAGAATATTTCCCTCCCTCTGTACCCTGCTGTGAGACCATCTCCCCAATAGCGACTCCTTGGCATCTTTATTCCCTCGATAAATCTTGATGGTGACATAGAAAATTAACCCATTTTGGACGGAAACACGGTAGAACCTGAGAAATTATGTTGCACAGATTAGGTCCTTATAGCTAGCCCACGCACAGCCCCTTTTCCTCTCAATAGGACAGTGCTTCCCACTCCAGACCCCAATGCATGATGCAGCTTCATAAGACACAAGTGGATTGTATGGAATGGGAGGAAGCCCTCGGGCGATATCGGTATGTGCCAATATCGACCGGGATACACGGACAATACAGAGCAACAAAACTAAACCCACTTCGCAAGTTGCTGCTGACTCAGCCTGAGTCACCCTCACCCACCTTCCCGGAGCTGCCGCTGCTGGGGAAGTTGCTGGCAGTTGCTTGCAGAGTTATCTCGGGCTGCAGATGGCTGAACTCTGCGTCCTCTTGCACCTGCTGTGTGTAGCCGAAGCCCTTGTGGGGGGGCAGATAACCCGCCTTAGCAGCTCTGCAGCCGGCCCGGCGGCTGGGATCAGCTGGGGCAAGCAGCGCAGCAGCGGGCAGGAGGCGGAGGGGGCGGCTTTGCAGGCGCAGGTCCCCCAGGGCGAGCCAGCCGCACCCCTGTCGGAAGCTGGGTCGATGCTGCCTCTTGTGCGGAGCCCCTCGAGCTTCGCCTCCACCGGGCACAGCCTGCAGTTGGCCGCCTAGGAACGGCGGGGCCCCCGCTGCGGCTCTAGGGCTGCCGCCGCCGCTGCCCACCTTGCTCCAGACGGTGCGTGCGGCAGCTTGGAGCAGCGCCCCAGGGCCCAGCGAGCGCTGCGCCGCAGGAGAGCCCAGGTGCACCAGCCAGGGCATTGCTGGAACACGGCCCCTTGGCCCGCGAGCCCGGCAAGGGAAGCAGCCCAGGCCCGCAGAGACTAACAGCCACCCCCGCCAGCCCAGGCACCCTCCTCCTTAAAGAGACAGCGCCCCTGCCTAGCGAGCAGGACGGCAGGCCGGTTTGGAGCAGTCCCTCGCAGCTACTGGCAGCCTCCTCCCCGGCCCCTGGCGGGGAGGGAGAAGCTAGGTCCCCTCCCCCGCAGACCGTCCTCAGTACAGCCAGGCCTGACCGTCGCGTCTTTGCACCGCTTCAGCCCCCAGGGTCCGCGCTGCGGATGGGGGAGGGCTCAGCCCAGCTCAACCTAGACTGGGGCGGACGGGCCATTAGGCGTGGGGCCAGCGCGGCCCAGGCTTATGCACGTGTAGGAGGGGGGTGCTGAGTCAGCAGCTGGCTCTGCGTACCCTGCTTTTCAGGGTAAAAGGCAGAGGGTGCCAATGAACTGAGTAGAGAGACAGCTAAAGGGCTAGCTGGGTGGAGAAGACTACCCCTGTCCCCCCAGCTGCTAAGACTATTTAAGCAGCCAGGAAGTAAAGGCTGGGGAGGAGAGTAGAAAGTCTGAAGGAAGGCAGGACTAGCTGCTAGTAATAAAACTGTACCCTTCCCCAGAAGCAAGGGGGGGGGGAAGCTAGTCAATATGGTGTGCAGGCTCTCTGGCACAGTGGTGGGTGGCTAAGAACGCCAGGAGTTGTGGTGACCAGGCTAGGAAAGACTCCCAGGGCCAGGGATTCCGTGCCAGCACGTCTCACGGCTGCAGGAGTGCAGTGGGGAAGCCCACAGGGTCTGGGGCCTGTTTATAGCCCTCCCTTAATTCCCAGCACAAAGCCCTGTTGTTTGGGATGGCATGTGTGTGTGACTCTCACCTTAAATGCAAACCTCTGAATTTAAGCATCACTGAGTTTGGCAAAGAACATGGGAATCGCCTTACTGAGTCAGACTAATGATTCATCGAGCCCAGTATCCTGTCCTCCAACAGTGGCCAGTGCCAGATGCTTCAGAGGGAATGAACAGGGCATGGTTAAGGACTCATAAAAGGTGAGTTGCAAAGGGAAAAAAAACTGGCTTGTGTCCTTTTTTGCTTCTTTGTGAGGTAGAAAGAAGTCCTGAAAAATATCTGCCTTACCAAAAAAAGGAGTGGAAGAGAAGGTTGTGGAGAAGGGGTGTTGCTTGTTTTCACATTGGAAATGTAGGTGGACGAGTTAATGGCAGCTGGAAATCTAGTGAATTGATGACAGTGCCACAGACTGCCATATGAGTAGTTGACAGTGAAAAGGCTCATGCAGGAGTGCAAGAGACAGAAATTTCACAGCAGCTGGCCCTAGACTGTGGAACTCACTCCCACAGGAGACTAAGAATGACCTCACTTTCAGAGCTAAAACCTCTGAGAGTGGGCCTTCCATTTTAGTTTTGTTTCAATACATACATATACACGGACCCACTCATTGATGTACACAAGGAAACATACATTTAAAAAAAAATCCTTTACAACCTTATCAAGCTATTTGTCCTACCACCAGACAGGAGGGAAGGAAGAAAGAAGGAAATATTGGTTTTGTCATGTCTATATTTAAATACATGGGAGGTACAGATGGATATGTACCTAGGTGAACAGGTAGATAGAATGCTCCTGCCCTTTCATTTCTGGCATGAGATGTCACAGTACACATTTATTATCATGATTAATTAGTTGCACTGTGGTAGCATCTGGGGCCCAGTGACAGACCACAATCCCATTGTGCTAGGCGCAGAATAAAAAGATGGCCCCTGCCTCAAACAGCTCACAACATCTTTGAGATCCCAATCATCCCCTCTCCCAGCAAAAGCAGGGAAAATTAGACTTGACTACTTGACTGTTAATTCTAAGCTATAAATATAACAAGGAAAACAGGAAGTAAAAATACAATCTAGGTGTTACATAGCTCAGGTGGAACCTTAGGTCCTGATCCAGCAAGTTATTCCGTACATGTGGAGGCCAGTGCCTGTGTGGAGCTCCATTATCTTCAATGGGGCTCTGCATAAAGGGGTGTGCATACTGGGGGTCTGCCCATATGGAGTAATTTGCAGGATCAATGCCTAATCTTCTGTGACTTTTAACTGTGCAACCTTCACATTATTTAATATAGTTCAGAGCTGGGTTTTTACACAGCAACTTTCACCCTGGAATCCTTCATAAACAGAAATCACTTCACGCTTTGCTCAAATGCATCTACTGCTGGGGTGAAAGTGGCTTCCAAATGGCACACACAATGCTGCTCCGAAGTTGGGGAGGGGAAACCATTGCATCACCATAACTTGTATGGAAACACTTAATGAACCTAAATTTAAATTCTCTAAGCTGTGGCTTAGAAAGGTTTTTCTTCTCCCCGTTCCCTAATGACCCATCCTTTCTTCCCTATTAGTTCTGTAGTGCTGTACACATACACAGCCCTGTACAAAAGGAGAACTGTGTCAAATACATAGGAGGTTTCCTGCCCGGAAAGGCTTGTAGTGTAGGAACACATGCTGGAACTGCACAGGACAACAAAGAATGCTACAATGCGGAAACAGCATGGTGGGTGGCCATTATCAGTAGGATGCATCACAGAGCAGATGGGTTTTGAAGAGTCTTTTGAAAGAAGAGAGTAGGAGAGCTTTGCATATATTAAATGAGCATCTGTTCCAGACATAATGGGCAGCAAACACTGTACAAGCATATTAGTCCTTGCTCCATAAATCTAGTCCCTTTCGGAGAACTTGGAATATGGATAGTTTCCAAGACCACAACTGTTTATCCTACCAAGTGTTTCTATTACTGCTTCAAGACATTTGCACATTTGTTTCCTTTGCCCATCTACATAGGAGCATTTACCATACCGGGGGTCAGAGTTATTAACATGGTAGTGCCATTGGCCTGACCTATGTGAATATAACCAGCTCATATTATAATGATGCCACTGAACTGTGGCACAGCCCTGCAAATACCAGGGGCCTGTTTCTTATCTCATTACATTGTTAATGAGAAGTAAGTTTATTGAAGGCAATGACATTTCATAGGCATAACCAAAATCAGCATAGAGCCCCTGGTCTTACAGGTTTGATGTTTTCCATACTGGCCAGGCCAAACCACAGCACTACCATAGACTATCCAATCTAATCTTTTCTAACGATCAATCTATCCATCCCCATACATGTTCATCCACCATCTATCTATCTATGGTATTTTTATAGTACCTGTTACCAGATGATCTACATGGATCCTATCTGTGATAGAAAAGTTACAAGAGGAAACTTGTGAAGGTAGAACCTTGCATTTTCTTTAATCCAGTATTAAAACAATCACCTGTTTCTAATGTTTTGGTGGTTACAGAAATTATTACATAAAGGGTCGTTTTATAGTTAAAATACTGAATTTGTGATGTCGAAAACTTTTCAGCTGACTAATCAGTGCTCATACCCTCCTCTGGGGAACTTCTTGCCATTATAGAAAATGTACATTACATGTACATGTTATACTGATTGTGCCCTAGAACAATGAGAGCCTTAGCTAAGGCTGCTATATACAATGCATATAAAGGAAAAAGCTAGCAGAAATGTTATTGTGCTATGCAGCAACCTGCCACCAGATCAGGAATGGACACCTCTGACAAATTGTTGCACCCCCAAACACAGTGTACAGTCCTATCCTGGGTGGATTGTACTTGTATCTAACAGATACCTGAGAGATCAGCTTCATTTTTACACTTTGGCAACACTTCAAAGGCACTGCCTTCTTTGTGAGCTCAAGCAAGCTCCAGTCACAGCTGGCTTAGGCACGAGAGACAAGACCCTGGCTCCTCCAGTGGCAATTAAATTGAACCCAACAATGTGGATGACACCAGGCACTCCCTGCTCATAGGTATGATCCCAGACTATGACACTTCGGAGACAAGTGACTGGGGTCAAGGATCAAATGTAGAACTGCAGTGTGGCCATCTGGAATATTAACCACAGGGTCAGGCTGATCTTTTTCTGCATAAAATAAAATAATTGGTGAGTCATTTTGCATAGACATTTCCAGGCAGGGAGCAATCCATGTACAAGATTAGAAACAATAACAGCAAACACGGAAAAAGAAACAAACATCCCAACTTCACATACTATAAAGCAAAGAGAGCACACAAGTGCCAAGAGAAGAGATATTTGCTCCAGCCCTCTGGGCATAATGGACCAAGAACATAGGGAGAAGACACACCTGTCAGAGCCAGATTAAGAATGCATGCCCACTGCTAGGATTTGCAGGGCCTGGCATAAATTCACATGTGCAGCACCTATTCCTTTCCCACGTATGACTGCAATCTCCTTCCTTCATGTTGTCACAACCCAGCCTCACCTCTTTAGGAAGTCCTATGGCCTCTAGTAACTTACCCATACACCTGGGAATACCTGAAATCCTAATAGTGGAGCCGAAATAAATGTACCATGCGAGGAGGTAAGGAGGACAGTTAGGGTAGTCACTCCCTGCTGTGCCTCTTTGATGAGCCATGGAGAATGTGGTGAGCATGGCAAGCCCTGGAATGTGGCATGGTGCCCTGGCTGGCAGGACAGTTGTGTGTGTCATGTCAGGGCACTGAGAACAGGGCTGTTTGCAGCCCTATTGGTTGCCTAGGATTAATATTGCCAGTGCTGTGACTGTTACCCAGCCTACACCGGAAGTGTGTGTTAGTGCTCTGCAGTTTTAGCATCTGAATCATCTGGTTTGATGTCCCTCTGGAATGCAGGGCACATTGGGTCATAGCCTCCAAAGACAAGTTGTCGTTGGTGCAAAACACCCAGGACTTAACTTTCAAAGTTAATCCTGGGGCACCAATCAGGAAAACGTTCTGTGAAGCAGGCTTTCCAGCCTCTAAACACTAGGTGTGCTGTATCATGTCTCATTAATATTTCATCTTTGGTTTGCTTTTATTTTAGTCCCTCGTGTTAAAAGACCCTCCTTGAACTTCTAAAATATTTACTAGCCTGTTAGTATTACAGGTCCCATTAGGAAAAGATGAAATTTTATCCACTGCAGTGATTGTGATATCTACTCAATATTAATGAGAAGCACTTGCTTCTCTGGTTTCTGTATTCCTCCACCTCATGTAGAGGATGTAGCATGTTCAGCTTCCATATAAACATAGGTTAGTGCTTATATCTCTGTTAGCTTTGTAATACTTTTGGTATCAACATTTCTCAGGGTCATCATGAGGACAGATGTAGGTAATTTCCATTTCCCCAGATTACCAAAAGGTCTCAGATTTGACCTATTGTCTCAGTGTAAT